CGAACACCCCGAGAAGCCAAGAAAACGAAAAAAAAAAACAAAAAAAATACAGAAAACAAGAAGCCATTGGCCAAATGCGCACAGCTGCAGAGCTGCCGGCGGGGGACGGGAGACGGGGACTGCGAATGAAGTTTTGAGATGGCGGGCAGGGAGCAACCGCAAATTGTGTACGCTACGTACTCCGGCTACGTGGAGCACTCGGCAGAACAATGCCACACAGTGGCAATAAGGGGCCAAAAGCAGCCGGAAAGAATTGCTCAGTAATTTAATTTAAGCATGCGGATGGCTCTCCACTCAGCCCCCTGTGCACCCTCCCCGTCCACCCTGCGCGTAGTAAGTAGCAGGCGTCAGTTAGTGGTGCGTGCTCCATAAGCCCAAATGTCAATATTTGCCTATGCCACGCATTAAGCGTGCCAAACCATGTGACTCAAATATGTGTGTGTATGTGTGGTATGTCTCTCTCTGTGTGTGTGTGTGTGTGTCGTTTTGGGGTGTGCTGAGCGGACATTTAAAATATGTTGTCTTGCCGCCAGTTGTTTGCCAGGACACTTTGCTGTTCGGGGCCCACACACACACACACACACACACACACACACGCACACACACACACACACACACACTCACACAGAGCTGCAGCATATCTATAGCCCGAACCGCCGGCAAGAGCGGAAATTAGCAAACGATTTAAGCCGTGGAGGGGGGTGGGGCGCACATGGGGCGAGGCAACGCGGCGTATGCGTGTTATTTGATTTTGCTGCGGGTACGCTTACAGTTTTTCTCCTTTCACATATTCCTTAACAATTTCCTGTTATAAACAAATCAAGGATGTAATAACGCAGCCCAATGCGCGCACTCCAAGCCAGAGGCTGGGGCCGATTGAAAAATAAATGCCGTTGATTATGATCTTAAGAGCTGCCACAGTCGGTAATGGGCGCTGAAATTGCTGCATACTGTGCTCTGCGCCAGACACAATTGCGAGGCAAAGCCCATTAGTTAACAGCTTACTGCGTTCTCTTTTGCCCGGAAAGGCTTTGCTCTGAAAAATGTAGCAAAAATATTTAGAATAACAGCAAAAATAGAACGAAACAAAAACGAAAGAGAATGAGAATGAGAATGAGAATGAGAATGGGGAGACAGCGAAGAGTAGAAAAAGGCTATCCACACAGACCAACGCAAGCTGGGAGGCAGTTTGATGGCATGTAAAAGTTCAGTGGCACTAACAACAAGGACACGGACAGACTTAAAGAAAAGCCAGTCAAGTGTATGAAATGTAACAAAGACCTTAACCAAAATTGCAAACACACACACTCGCACACACTCGCACACACACTCGCACACACACTTACCCACTCGACTGCCACTCACACGTACTGGGAAAAATAATGAGAAAATATCAAAAGTGGGCCCACTTTTGATATTTTGTGCTAAGGCCCTGGGGCTCGGTCCCAGCTGAATGTCAACTTAAAGCTCTTGCGGCTGCCTTGGTTGGCCAACCGGCCCTGGCCACGTCGGCCCACTCCGGCCGTCCGGACTGCCTTGCCTGCCATTTCTTTTATTTTTTTAAAGTATCCGAGCTGGCTGAAACCGACGCTAATGAGCTACTTAGGCAATGACTTAGGTCATTATTGTGTGCGTGTGTGCGTGTATGTGTGTGTGTGCCTGAGTGTGTGCTTGTATATCGTCACATTACACATACGCAACGTTGTTTTGGCCACACTTTGCGGCGAATGTAAAGCCGACGACAACTGTTGTCAGCCATGCCCCAGCCTCAGCTCTCGCTGCTGTGGGCGATACGAGGGGGCTGCAAAGCAAACTTTAAGGCGAGCTGCCATGTCTGCGCTCGGCTGAGCCCTTTGTGCTGCGCCTTTTGTCATCGTGGCGCCGCCCCATTCAAAATATGCCATATTGTATTCGATTAATATTTCAATAAAGCGTTTGTGCCTGGGCTGCCCTTAACGGATTACAATAATCAGAGTCCTTTTGTGCCGACTGCCACAATGGGCAGCGGCCATCAAGTGGAAAATGAGCTGCTTCAGAGCATTCCGAGTGCCGAGTGCACCACATGATGTACTCGTACGCAATTTTTCGGCCTTTGAGTTTGTCGAGTTTTCCCGCAGCCTAATTGAAATCATTAGCCAGGCGATGAACAATGGCTGCTGATTTACAGCGCCACAAACGCCGCGGGCTTCATTAGACAGCGACGAACCAAAAATAGCACAACAGATCAGAGAGCACACGCACACACACATACACACACACACACGCACACACACATACTCGCGGGCTGAGTGAAATAAATGTGCGTAATTGCCAACACCTCATTAGGCAAAAACTTGGCTTTAATCAGGCAGCCGCAGTGGCCCCAAATGTGCGAGTGAAAACTTTGAACAGTTGCCCCATCAGCTCGGTGCCAATTAAACGCGTCCATCGCAATGTTTACTCAACGCCAACACGACAAAAGCAACAAAATTCGAGCGATTCGCCTGGGGTGTGGGTCGAGCGGAGCTGAGCTGAGCTGACAGTGCAAACCATCGACATAATTCTGGAAAATGTGATTTTATTAATTAAATGCGACAGGCGAGTGTCAAATCAGCGACAGGGCGTGGCCCACGACAAGCGGCCTCCAGCTCCACCGCCCAGCCGCCTCCTGCTCGCTGTGGCGGTTCAATGTGCTGCTTACGTCTCTGCCGCCGCCGCCGACTGCGCACAACAATTTTAAACATGTCAACATGGTGTCATAATTATAATATTTAGCCCCACAATGTGTGAGTGGGTGTGTGCTAGTGTGCGTGTGTGTGCTGCTTGTGCGCTGTTCGATTCGCTTGCCTTAAATACGCGAAACCCAAAAGCCACGCCTACAAGGCGTAGCCTCTGTCGACGCTATTGTTTGGCTATGGCGCTGGGCGGCATTTTTAATGATGGCTGCGACTAGGGCTGGGTCGGGCAGGGGAGGGGCGGGTCGGTGCTGAGGGACCAGCACTATGCCCACGATTGGAAATTGTATTCTGTTGCCGGTGGCTCGCTCGCTGCGGGTGGCTGGTTAACTGATTGGTTTTGCGGTTGGCTTTAAGCCGCCTTTTAAAAGCCATTTATTAGGGACTGCAACGACAATGCCACTAATTGCTTATGCCCTGTGCAGTCCGCAATGGGCAGAGCTGTGATGAATGAGCAGCCATCGATAAGGTCAGAGCAGATGCGCCTAAAGCTAGCCAAATATTATGAATTTAAAGAGTCGGTTCTGTTTTTGGTAGAGATCTGAAATTATATATATCCTACACACAATAAGCTGGTAATATTATATATTATATGAAAGCTGAAATTATAAGTGGACATTTCTTAAGCTGACTTTTATCTAAAAAAATATATATTTATTTATGCTTGTGTAATTTATGTAACATCTTCTGCAAATCCCAGCGGATCTATGCAAATGTAACGAAAATAAATATTTGTATTCATACATACACAAGATTTTCTATTTATATTTGCACATTTATAGCTCTCCTTAGAGCTAGATAAGGTCAGAATCATCGAAATAAACTGAAAATATTATTATCATTAATTATTGCCAGCTATTTGTTTATTATTTTTGCGCTTTGAAGTAGCTCACTTTACTTGCAAATATCTATTTATCTCAATTTATGCTGCTTTTCTTTTTGTTTCTTTCGCAACAGTAGTTATTCCCTCTGCTGGGAGTCTTTAAATTTAAGCATTTTTTGCAGCAAAACAGTAAAAAGAGAGAGAGAGAGCAACGTTGGCCAAGTGACCTAGCGGCGGCCAGCAGTTGGCTGCACGTTATCCTGGCCACTTAGTCTTGATTAATGTGTCGCATTTGCCTGCGGAGCCTGCGGGCCTAGCGGACCTAGCGGAGCACCCGTAAATAACAAACCCACTCGCTCTCCACTGACCCATGTCTGACGTCCCCCACTCAAATGAGCTAGTTTTTTTTATTTTCCTTTATTGCTTCAAGGTTAATTGGAAATGCCAAAGTTATATGCAAACTTGTTTGTTGTTGTCGATTAAAGTTTTCAGTTTGTTACAATTTGGACTATTTTATTTTTGGCATACGCTCGCTTTATTTATTATGGATGCAATAAATATTTATAGCTTATCTCGATATACGTGATGTGTGTGTGCGTGCGTGTGTGTGTGAATGTATTAAATTAGTTCGCTTTAAGCACCTGTCGCTCTATCTGCTTCAGCTCAAATTTGCTATAGATTTGAAAATTGAATATTTCGCTGCTGCTGCTGCTGCTGCTTGTCTGCATGCTGATCGCCTGTCAGAGTCGCCGTCAGAGTCGCCGTCAGTCAATCACTCGCTGGCATATTGATTGAATGCTGCGATGGGCGCTTGACCCGTCTCGACGGGCTGCCCACAGGGGGCGCACACACAAGTTGAGCTGGCTTGTGGCAAAATTTCAAGCGTTTCCAAAAACTGAGCAACGACAATTTGAGCTCGCTGGCTGAAAGGAATCTCTCTAGTGAATTTTCCAGATAGCCTGACTACAAAAAGGACGCAACGTACTCATAATGTGTGTGTGTGAGTGTGTGTTTGTGGCTAGAGAAATGTAAATGTTTGCAAGCATTTGCCAAGCGACAAGGACAACGACAACGGAAGAGACAGGAACAGGGACCCGCATGACCCGCATGATATCTCGATGGGTTATTGCTTAGTTTTTGGGCAGCGGCAGGAACAGAGATACAGAGAGAGAGAGAGAGAGAGCGTGAGAGTACAGTGAAACTCATATGCATAAATATTTTTGTGGATTTAGTCGCGTCCAATAACAATGCGCATCAAAACCAGCCGACAATTGTGGCTGCCGTGGCAGCGCAAAGTCGTCGGCGATAAATTTGAATAGGGGTTTACGGTCTCGGTGTGAGTGTAGATTTAGCGTGCATAGTCTTGATTGTTTGCAAATACGCAAATTATTGCCCAGCTTGTCGTCAATTGGCGACAATTGGCCTCAATTTCGCAATTGACAAGTGCAATTTGGAGCACTTACCTCGCACTTGGGCAGCGGACCCTCGGGCATCTTGACCTTCCAGCCGAGCAGCGGGGGAATGCATATCAGCGCCGACATGATCCACACCGCGGTGATCATGACGGCGGCGCGGGCGGGCGTGCGCGACTTGAGATAGTCAACGGCCTTGGTGATGCTCCAGTAGCGATCGAGCGAGATGAGGCAGAGATTCATGATCGAGGCTGTGCAGAGCAGCACGTCCATGGCCGAGTGTATGTCGCACCACCAGCTGCCGAAGATCCAGTAGCCCATCAGCTCGTTGGCCAGCGAGAAGGGCATGATGATGAGGCCCAGAAAGAAGTCGGCCACCGCCAGCGAGGCAATGAACCAGTTCTGTATGTTCTTCAGCGACTTCTCGGTGGCTATCGCAATGATCACCAGCATGTTGCCCACCACAATGATGATCATCAGTATGGTCACGATGATCGAGGCGATCACAATGTGCGTCAGCGTATAGCCGCTCGGATACCGGCCATCCCAGTGCACCTCCGTGCCGTTGCTGCTGTTGGCCAGCAGACCCATGCTCATGTTGGCCGTCGTCTGATTGTAGTAGCTGCCCGCCAGCTGGAGGCTGTTGTTGTAGAGGCTGCCATTCAGCAGATAGATCGTATCGTTCACTGGCGGCTGCATCTCCAGCAGGTTCGGCAGCTGCACCTGCCCATCGACTGTCACCAGCGGCGGATTGAGTGTGGCAGCCGGATTGCCATGGGCCAGCGATGATGATGCTGCCGCTCCGGCAACGGCTGCTACGGTTGCTGCTGTTGTTGTTATTGTGGCACCGCTCGAGAACACGGCCAGGAAGTCATCATTGCTGATGTTGCCCGTATTGATGCTGGCCTCCACTTTGGCGTAGTCCATGTTGCTTCGCTTGTTGTTGCGCTTGTCAAGTGTATATCTGTCTCTATCTCTTTCTCTGTCTCTGTCTAGCGTCGGATTGGTCCCATGCTAGCGCTGTCCGCTTCACTTGGCTATGCATATGCGTATTTATGAATTTATATTCTGTTTGTATTTATAAATAAATATATATACGTATATATTTATATACATGTAGATGTGTGCGTATTTATAATTAAATTTGAAAATGCGGCCGGCAATCTAGCATTCGTTTGCGCGCGTTTCAATTACGTCCGGAATTCTGTTCCAACACCCAATTAATTCTAGTAATTTATCTAATGCCTAGCATAGTTTTGCGATTTGCAATTATTCGATTATGTTTTTACCCGTTTTGCACCGAAACTTGTGTATGTGCGAAGCGTTTTGAAGTCGCGTGAGCGTAAAACGCGCGCGGCTTTCATATAACTATTGATTAATATTATTATTTATTTTTAATAATACATTCAAATATATCATTATTTGTTTTGTTTATTGTTGTTGCTGGATAAACACACACGTAGACCGACACACATGAAGAGATACAGAAAGGGTGTGAGTTAGAAGGAGAGAGAGATAGCAAGTGAGAGAGACTGAATTTCACACACACACACACAGACACAGAGATTAAACGTATACTATGGATTACGACTGACTATATACAACAGGGATCCGCCACCGGGGCGCCACTAGAACCCCACTCTCGATATCTCGATCTCGATGCCATCGATGTGCCCGATCTGCATTCACATGGCGCCTTCGCCTCACTGCCGTCCGTTCGCTTTTTTCCGTATGCGTATTCGATTTGCACTTGATCAACAGTTTGGTAATCCGCTCAGATAAATAGTCCGGTTTCGTGCGTCAGCTCGCTTATGTACAATGGATTTGTGGACTGTTTTCGTTGGGGACTCGCGCGCCTCTCAAGCCACACTCAGTCGGGCGTGGGCATTTCTCGACACGATTTGGCGCTTTTTCTTTGGCTAAATGTCAGTGAGTCTTGGCTGTTTACTTTGGCTGTTTGGCTACTGGGCCAGCTGACGCGCCCGCAACACGTTCGCACCGCTGGAAATGCACATCTTAACTGAATGCCCCAACATTTGCTACCAAAGTTGTCTTTCGCACACGCAGCCTCAGCGGCTGGCCTCGGCTCTCGCCTCGGCGCCGATTCGTGCGGCTTGCCGCTTCGTTCGGCTCATGCCGTTGCCGTTGCGCTGGGGAAATTCGCTCACGGGGAAATTGTCTCTTTGGCGCGATTTGTGTTTCACTTTCCACTCGTTTCAGCTGCGTTTGTTTTGGTCAAAGTGTGCGTGTGTGTGTGTGTGTGTGTGAGGGTGTGGGTGAGTGTGTGTGTGTGTGTGGGGCATAAGTGCGCCATATTCCTAAATCCAAGACCCAAAACCTATACCCAAAAACACAACCCGAACCCATTTGTTGCAGCACTTTTCACGTTTTTCATTTCACTGTTGCACCCTCAGCCCCAAAGGGCGTGTGTGTGTGTGTGGCTGTGTGAGTGTGGGCATGTTTGCTACAAATGTTGGCCATGCGAACGAGGCCCATGTGTGCGATGCGGCCTTTTGTTTACATTTTTTATTCCAACCCACATAGCTGGCTTTGTTTTCACGCCAAATGCTGGCAGGCTCACCTTTTAAATACTTTTCACGATTTGCGGCCTGTTAAAGTTGCGTCTCAACTGTGCCAATAAACCCCCAAGAATGAAGCCATCAAAAGGCGTGCGGGCCAAACACAATACATATATACAAACATGTATATATGTATATATATATGTGTGTATGTATTCTTATGAATGCCAGCACATTACGCACATTATGCGCTATAGTCACGTAGATGGGGCACATAATTGAAAAGCCAACTTGTGCGTATCAATCGTGCAGCCAAACAGGTTGTTCTGATATCTGTTGTTGTTGTGGTTGTTATTATTGATGTTGTTGTTGGTGTTGCTGTTGCTGTTATTGGTGTGGCTGCTGCTGCTTCGGCAGCTTCGCAATGAAATCAGCTAGAAATTATTATGATAATGAAGAGTTGAGCGCACACTTCGTTCGCCTGGAAGTTCTTTATGAGGCAAGTATGCATTTATGTATACGCTGCGTATGAGTTATTCGAGTTATTTGATTACGTTAAGCATACGCCGTGTTGCTGCCGCGCATAATTTCAAATTACACGCAGCAGAGCGACATCAACATAATAAATCTGAAAAGGGCCGACACTTGACAAACAAGCAGCGAGCAGCGAGCTGCTACGACATCAACTTATTTGCCGTGACGGCCACACACACACACACGCACACACACATATGACATATGCCGGAAAGACTAAGCAACAGAAAGAGCAACAGCAACGGCAACAGCAGCGGGTACTCAGGGCTCAGTGCCTAACAGAAGATTGCTTGTCAAGCGCTGATTATATTAACCGCCTAGACAGACACACACACACACGCACGCCAATCAGTGAGAAATGACACACACACACGCACTCTCTCACTATAAACAGCCGCAGTGTCGGGCAGAATCAAATTGCGCATACGCCGCATAAGCCTATGGACTGTAGCCAGTCTGACGGCATGGATAATGCGCAAATCTCTCAAATGCGCATGCATTAAGTTATGCACATATATTCTGTGTGCCAGTATGTGTGTGCGTGCGTATGCATGCCTCATTGCGACTGCAGCACGCACAGAGCAGCCGCTAATGACAACTTCGTCTTTCCGTCTGCATTTATGGGGCCATTGCTCAACAGCTAAATCCAATTTTTATGCGCCGCACGTTTTGCATAATGAAATCGGATTTGTGGACGGACATAAACTGCAGCTAAAAATGGGGGGGGGGGGAGGCGTGGCAAACATTTCGCGCACTCTCTAAAAGCGTTTTACGACGAGCAGAAAAATTCTAACAATAAAAGAGTATCATAACGACGTAAAAGTATATTAGTTTAAGCCAAAGAAAGGCAGGAAGGTAATGAAATAGGCGAGGGCCGTATCTACGAGGTCTAAGAAACTCTTAGAGTAAATATTTCTGCATTAGCTGATATGACTTCCATATGTTTAAGTGTACACCAAAGTCTTTTATTTAAAATCATAAAAACTAAAAAAAAAATTAGGTAACTGCACTACAAATGAAATATTTAAATTATCTAAACAGTTTTGAGTACTCTATAGGGTATATGCGAAGCCTTAAAAACACTTACTACTGGAACATTCCTTTGCGCTGTTCGCCGCTTCTGTTTTTCGAAACATTCCAGACCTGAGCGTTTTGTCACTATACGACTGGGAATAGCAGCTGGGAATAGCAGCGAGTGCTGCTGCCAATTGGCCAGAGGCGTGCGTTATGGACCATTGGAATGGGTCGACCAAAGCGCAAACAGCAAAACGAAAAAAGTAGGGGAAAACATTTTCAGTGCGCGAGTTCGGTTGAAAAATGCGCAAATGCAACTCGCTAATGGCTGCGAATATTTTATGTGCGCTTATCAGTCGCATTAGCTGGAAAACTGTTGCTAAAAGCTTGCCATATCCTATGGGAGTGCTGCGCTGGGCTGTGCCATGACGTCGGGCTGGTTCCGGAAATTACGTTACTCATACGCACCGTGGCGCAGCTCGATGCATTATCTTAATTTAAAAGCGCGCTACAGCCAGAGCTACACGGCATTGGACAGGCTGGCAGACAGCTCATGTACCAGCCAGGTTTTAGTTTCATTAACTTGGCTGAAAACTCATTTATCAACCTGTCAGCGGCAATTATTTATGCCCGCCTCCACCTAAGGCGGCGCGCAGTGCGTTCTATGTGCACGCGCATCGTGGCAAATTATAGAAAATTACCCGCAATGGCAAAAGCATCTCAATTTGTCCAACGTCCGCATTGCGAATGCTTTAACTGAAATTACAATCGATGGAACTTAAATGCGCAGCAAAATCGAATTAATGGCCAAGCACTTCGGTCGCGACTCCGTCGCCAGTCTTACCATTAAGCATTGAAAGTTTTAATCGGCTGATATGACCCCTGATTCGAGCTGATTCTGCTTTCCGGCCTGCCGGCGCGCCATTAGGCTGCCAATCAGCCCAAGGCAGCACGTGCGCCCAATTGACAATTGAGGACCTCCGCTGAGTGGCCGAGGGCGCACTGGGCCAAATGGCAGCACGAACGGGTTGGCTGTTCCGTCCGGCCAACACGGCTTCCATGTGCATGTCACAGGCGCCTCAAAGCACAAAACATAACCATATTTACTGCTTGGCCGAGCACAGCAGCAAACACTTCAGCCAACAGCTGCAAGCTCGGACAAGGAAGCCTACCACATGCAACCAACTAATGGATGTGTTATTAAGTAACAAAAAAAAAAAAAAAAGAAAAATAAAAATAATAATAATAATAATAATAATAATAATAATAATAATAATAATA